TTGCGGAGACATCCTTGGGGACAGCAAAGAATAAAAGAAGGATAAAAGCAGAATTGCAACATAAGCCACACTTTTATTGAAACATCATGACGTTACATGCATGCCTGAAAGAGACAAAATGTATGGCATGATGCTTTTGTCATGCATTGGGAACCTCAAATCTACCAAGATTTCCCTCTCTCTGTGATCTCTGAAATTGTTTGGAGGGTAAATCCCAATACTTCTACAGAAACAATTGTCTCATTTTTTTTTTATGTTTTGAAGCACAATGCCTCCTCCAAAAATCCATACCTCTCTGGAATTGTTAGACATCTGAGTTTGAAGAGGGGAACACAGATTATACTGGAACAGGCTGTGGCAAGGATAACTCTGTCTTAACTTTGTGTCCATTGAGTGTATCACATGTTTTGCCACTATTATAAACTGGCTTCATACTGATTGCAGATAGTCACATATTAGAATGCCTTTTATTAGCAGCAGGAGATGTCTCGTATATATCCCCAAGTGTCAGGACTCAACATTTCAAATTTCCAATGCAATGGAAGTATTCCACTACTACATATTACCAATGAATTACCATTCAGCCTGTTTAAACCCCTCCAGTGAAGGAGAGTCCACCAGCTTCTGAGTTACAGATAGACTTCGACTTACAACCAGTGGTGGGATTCAGCCAGTTCGCACCACTTCGGCAGAACCGGTAGCTAATTTTTTGTTGCCCAAGTCCAGAATGGACTTCCGGAAATAGCATCCCACACAGAGAACCACTGCTTACAACCACTTGTTTAGTGACCATTAAAAGTTACAATTGCACTGAGAAATGTGATGTACAACCGGTACTCTCTCTTAAAATCATTGCAGCATCCCCACGGCCATGTGATCAAAACCAGCATTATTTACAATGGTTGCAGCCATCTAGGGTCATGGGGTTACCATTTGCAACCTTCTCACTGATTTACAATAAGCAAATTAATGGGGGGAAATATGATTTGGTTAATGACCAGCATTTTACTTAAAAATTGGCCTAATAATCATGGAAAAAAAGATTGTAAAATTGGGTGCAGCTCACTTAACAATCACCTTGCTTAGCAATGAAAATTGGGGTCCCAATTGTTCTGGTAAATTGACTACCTGTAGTATGTTCCATTACTGAACAGCTCCTTTGGGATTTTTTTTTTCTGATATCTAACCAAAATCTAGTTCTTTGTAATTTAAACCACTGTTTCTTGTCCAATCTTCTAAAACAACTCAGAACAATTTGGCCCCATCTTCTACATGACAGCCCATCATGCAAACACTTGTCAAGCCTCCCCACAATCTTTTCTTCTATAGGTTAAACATAGCCAATCCTTCTAACCATTCTGTAATTTTCCCCCTTTCAGGACCTTTATCTTGTTTGCTAATTTCTGGATATGCTAACTTTTCCTTTCAGGATCTTTATCTTGCTAATGTCAACGCTGCTAACATCGGATGTTTTTGCTTTGACAACAGATAGAGATGTAGCCATTTTCTTCTTTTCGCTTTTAGAGTTAGATGATGCTGGGGAGGGGGGGAATGTGCATGAGAGTTCAGCTAGACATAATAATACTGAACCTAGCGTGAGAATCAAGGTTGTTGAAATAAGAGATGATAAGAATTGGCGGACTGGAGAGCTGGAGGGAAAGCCCATGCTTTAAACTAATTGGGGAATGTGATTTATGACAGTTAATTGGAGGAGGGAATTGTGCTTTGATACTATGTGCTCAAGGGGGGGGATGCAGTTTTTGGCTTTGATTATGTTAGTGCCGATGTTATGCTTCTCGAATAAAGATTCTTTAAGATAAACAATACCTCGAAGTTCTTGGAAGAGTTTCATCTGTTGGAACTATGACAGCTAACTTCTGGTCAAGTTAGTCAATGTTCTTTCCAAACACAGTGCCCAGAATTGGAAGTCATATTTTAGATGTGGTGAAACAAACAGAATGAAGAGAAGCATATGGTACTACTGTTGATGCAGCTACAGCCTAGTGTTGATTCATGTTTAGTATGCAATCCACCAGGATACTCAGATCTTTTCACATGTACTGCTGCCTGTATGCTCCTGTATCTTAAACCCATGCCTTTGATTTTTTCTACAACTAGATGCAGTACTTTGCATATTAACCCATGATGACATTTATCTTGCTGGTTTCGCGCTCATTGATCCTGCTTGTCAAGGACTTCCTGCAATTTGATATTGTTTTATCAAGTACTTGCTACCCCACCCCCCCTCCCCATCTCTTTCCCTTCAGCAAATGTATAGCCCTATTTTAAAAGCTCTCATCCAAGTAATTTATAAATACATAGGACAGCACAGGGACTAGAGCTGAGTATTGCAATGTGCCATTTATCACCTCCTCCCACTTGACAGAGTCATTGATATATAGTCAGTGGGTGCAATTGTTCAGTCAGCTCTACATCCTTCTAATGATTGCATTGTCCAGCCCACACTTTGCTATCTTTCTACTGGGATCTCATGGGAAAGTTTGTCAAATGCTTTGCTGAAGTCAAGATACATTATGCCTACCACATTGCTCTATCAACAAAGGAGAGTTAAATCTGAAATCAACATCAGTTTCCTAGTTCCTCTTTTTTTTTAAAGATAGGAACAACATTTGCTTTACTTCAACATGGGAACTACTCCCATGTTCTATGTATTATCAGAGATAATAGAAAGGGTCTCCAAGATAACATCCACAATATTCTTCTGGATTCTTGGGTATAATTGACCCAGCCTGGAAATTTTATACTTGTTCATAATAATCAGGAGCACCTAAATCATCTTGAGTTGATTTAATTGGTATATCTATACACTACTAAAATTCTAGTGCCTGTTTGATACTTCATAACCTTCAATTTGGTGAAATTGGAAAGGATACAAAAAGAAGTATTGTTTGTTTATGTTTATGTTTATTTAAATTTATATACCGCCCTATCTCCCTTACGGGACTCAGGGCGGTGAACAGGCAATAATAAAAATCACAATAAATATTGAATAAAAAGCCTGCTCTAAAATACCCCATATAAAACCCCTAGCAAAGTCCAATCAAAACTACACCAGGCCGGCCGCATGAAATAGATGAGTTTTCAGGGCTCGGCGAAAAAGGCGCAGGTCCGCAGTTGTACGTAGGTCGGGGGGCAGGTCATTCCAGAGGGCAGGAGCTGCCACAGAGAAGGCTCTCCCCCTGGGGGTCGCCAGCCGGCATTGACTGGCCGACGGCACCCTAAGGAGGCCCTCTCTGTGGGAGCGGACTGGTCGAAGGGAGGTATGTGGTAGGAGGCGGTCTTGCAAAGATGAGAGAGCTGTATCACTGCCCTCTTTCCTCCTCCCTCTGTCCCTGTGCCCAATTGGCTGATTACAAGTCTGATGGATGAACCGCCATTGGCTGTTTTGTAACCAATGATAAAATTTAAACAACGTGGCTAGTGAGGAAAAGATGAAGGAGTAATTTGGATGCCTGTTGGCAAGATAGAACTGGTTGGAGGGCACCTTTGACCAACAGGTAAGCTATCTTCCTCCCTGGAAGGGGCCATTGGGGACATGCTGGAATTGAAAGCGGGAGGGGGGTATAGTTTTCCTCAGAATCCACAGCTCCCTTTATTCATCCACACCCTCAGCAAAGTGGCAGAGAATTTTGGCAGGTCAGCCAAGGAGGAGAGTGAGAAGGCTTCACTAGGATTCTGAGAGTTGTGAGGGAAGGAAAAAGGATGTCAACTTATATATGCAAACAAGAATGATCCAATGGATCAAGGATTGTCTAATGAACTATAGCTCTGTTGTACACCACCCACAGTTATTTGTTTGTGAGATGGGCAGCTCTGTAAATTGGTTTGATAAATAATTAAATAAAATTAGCCTTTTACTTATCCCTTCTATCCTTGCTGAGGTTCATGTGTTCACAGATCTCTTTGAGGAAAAGAGCAAGCAAAATAGAAGTTGAGGGGCATTTCCTCTGCCCGGCACCTGTTATTATCTGTCTTCTCCACGAAGTGGATCCATTCCCTCTCTTCTTTCTCTTATTGACGTAGTCAAGAGAGAATACATTCAACGTGGAAGAAAATACTTGAGAGGTATGTTCCTTCTATATTTACCTTTTCTGATTACCTTTATACAGATATTATTTACTTGCTGAGATGCTTCTTTGATCATTATACCCATTATTCATTTCCTATACTTGTGGCTTTTAATTCTTGGCCCATTTAAAATCTGCCTTCACATCTACAATGGTACCAATAAAAGAGAATATTTGTAGCTGAGGGTTGAAATGAGGGGTCCTTGGTGCTCTCTGAGCTTGCTTGTTTTTCTTGCAGACATTTTATCACCCAAACTAAATAAAGTTACCTAGTTCATTACCTAGTTTGGGTAATGAAATGTCTGCAAGAAAACAAGCAAGCTCAGAGAGCACCAGGGACCCCTCATCTACAATGGTTTCCAATCATTCCACAACATCTTGGACAAATGGTTGTGTACTCTTTTCTTGAAAACCTCCAGCAATGGAGCACTTACAACTCCAGCTGGCAAGCTGTTCCACTGCTTAATTGCTCTCACTGTAAGAAAATTCCTCCTTATTTCCTGGATCTCCTTCTGAGGAGTTTCCACGCATTACTTCTTGTCCCACCGTCAGGTGCTATGAAGAATAAATCAATGACTTCTTCCCTTCAACAGCCCTTTAACTATTGGAAGATTGCTATCATGTCTCCACTCAGTCTTCTCTTTGGTAAATTAACATGCCAAGTCCCTTTAGCTGTTCTTCATAGTGTTTAGCCTCCAGAGCCCTTATCATCTTAGTTGTTCTTCTCTGCACTCTTTCTAGGGTCTTGGCTTCTTTTTTTTGTACTGTGATGACCAGAACTGAATGCAGTGTTTCAAATGTGGCATCACCAATATGGTATAGAGCAGTACTGTCACTTCCATTGATTTTAATACTGTCTCTCAGTTGATACAGCCCATGACCCTACTGGCTTTTTTGGCAGCTGAGGCATACCGATGACTCATACTTAAGCAGTGGTCCACAAGGAAGCTGAATATGAAGCTGGAGCTCAAATACTTTGGCCACCTACGAGAAGAGAGGGCTCATTGGAAAAGACACTGAAGCTGGGAAAGATTGAAGGTAAAAGAAGAAGGGGACAAGAAGAAGATGAGATAATTAGATAGTGACATTGACACAATGAACACAAATTTGGGCAAACTCCGGGAAACAGTGGAGGACAGGAGAACATGGCATTCATGGGGTCACAAAGAGTTGAACATGACTTAGCAACTGAACAAGAACCACAAGGACACCTAGATCTCGCTCATAGGCACTACTGTTGATAGGATACCAGCTACTGCCTATCCTATACCTGTGCGCCTGTTTTTTTCTGCCTTAGGGCAGAATTGCCACTAAATTACATCTTATTAAATAGAGCCCAATTCTCAAGTGTTCAAGGTTTTTTTTGAATCTTGAGTCTATCTTCCAAAGTATTAATAATTCCTCCAGTTTTGTGTAATCCCAAAATTTGATGAGCACTCCTTCAGCCACCTCATCTAGGTTATTGATGAAGATGTTGAAGAGCACTGGGGCCAAGTAGAACCTTGAGGAACCCCATTACATGCTTCTCTCCACATAGATGCATTTCCATTAAGGATCATATACTGAGTTCAGTTGATTAGCCAACTGCAAATCCATCTGGTAGTGCTACTTTCTATCCCACATTGTTCTGTCTTATAGTTTACATGGAAGTAGGCTGTGGTCTACTTTAGTAGATGCCTTACTGAAATCTAAACATACTATATCCACAGCATTTCCTTGGTGAAATAATTTAGTTACTTTATCAAAGAAGACCATAAGATTTGTTTGGGATGATTGTTCTTAGCAAATTCATGCTGGCTTCTAGTAATTACTTGTTCATTTTTAGATGCTCACAAACCCGGTACTTGATTACCTTTTCCAGGATTTTTCCAGATATAAACATCAAGCTGATTGGTCTATAGTTTCCTAGATCCAGTCTCCTCCACCTTTTTACAAATTGGAACTGTATCAGCTCTTTTCCAGTCCTGATGCAGTTCTCCTGTGCTCTCCAGGAGCAACCAAAGTGATTCTGAGTTCATATCTGCCAACTCCTTCGGTGCCCTGTGGTATAAACCATTTGGTTTAGGAGAGTTTCTGGAAAATTCTCTGGGAAAGTTGAATTTGTTCAGAATAGTTAAGGGTTCTCTAACCAATTCTTTAACTATTTTGACCTATATTTCTCTTCTATTTCCCACAGTGCTGCTTTTGATAAATTGGACTATATTTTTCTTTTCCATAAAGACATGCAAAAAAGGAGTTAAGCAACTCTGCCTTCTCCCTGCCGCCTGTCATCTTCTTGCCATCTTCTCCCATTAATGGACCAACCATTTCCTTGACTTTTTTCTTTGCTGCTTATATATTGAAAGAAACGTTATTTTTTGCATTTGTTGCAAGTCTTAGCTCATTCTGAACCTTAGCTTTCCTGACCCCATCCTTGCAGATTCAGATTATTTGCTGTTATTCCCCTCTATTTCCAAGCACCTATTTCCATTATTATATTTGTCCTTCTCATTCCTAAGTTTGTCAGAGAGCTCTTTGTGCAATCCTGGTGGTCTTGTCAGTTATCTCTTGTTTTTCTTTCTCTCTGGTATTGTTTTTATTTGGACCTCTATTATTTTGTTTTTCAGAGTTTTCCAAGCACTGTGAACTGTTTTTCTCTCTAGGATTTCCATTCATGGAATATTTTCTACTGTTTCTCTTAATTTGTTGAAATCAGCTCTCCTAAAGTCTAAAACACTAGTCTGACTTTGTTCAGTTACCTGTGCCTGCATTATAGTGAAGGCTAATATGACATGGTCACTCTCTCCCAAAGTTCCTACACCTTCCACCACACCTATTACTTCATCTCTATTGGAAAGTATCAGATATATAAATGTTTTAAACAAACAAACAAACTGGAAGATAAAGCACTGAGCAAGATGACCAAGAATTTTGGGAAATAACAATCTTGGCTGAGCTGGTTTTTCATCACCTGTCCAGGTGGCTGAAGTCTCCTACAATTATTATATCTCTTTTCCCTGAAGGTTCCATAAAGTCAAGTCCAGGAGAGCATTATCCAAAATTTCTGCCTTATGGAGTGGTCTACAACATACTTTAGCAATAGTAGCTTTATTGTTCTCTTTTCTTTGTATTTTTACCCAAATGCTTTTGACTGGGTTCTCCTGCTCAGATTCCTTGATTTCAGTACATGTGTACATTTTCTTCACATTTAGCACCATTTCTCTTCACATTTTGACTGGCTTCTTCATTTTGAATAAGTTATTCTCTTCAATTCTCTTATTCCAACGATGAATTTTGTCCCACCAGGCATCAGTATCACCATCTACATTGTTTCCGTTTGTTCCCTATACACCATGTACAGAGACACTGGAAATTTTGGGTCATATAATTTGACTTATTCCTCCTAATATCTAAACATCTGTATAGGAGTTCATCCACACAGCTCCTCTGCCAAGTGTTCCTCCCACGCTAGGACTGGAAAGTAATCATGTTGCATAAAATGTGCTGTCCCCACTGTGTGGCCTTACCACACATGTGGAATAGGATTATGCTGTGCTGCTGTCCATGCACTCAACATTGTAAGAATAGTATTTGGTACATTTTTCTGGATGAAAGTGAAGTATCATCAACCATGGGAAAAGTTGTCACCAAACACCATACAGAACATGTGCTTGTAGAATGCAGCAGCTGCTCTGCCTAATCATTTTTCCCCAAATGACAATATATTTTCTTTTTTTTTTTAAAAAAGTTTTTTATTGATAAAACAATTAAAACAAAAAGGACATGACATGACGTTCCAGTATATATAATCCTAACAATTTGTTCCTTATCATATTTAAAGTTCTATATATACATCTCTCTCTATATATATATACATATATTCCCCTATATAATCCAATATTATACAATCTCGAGCTTGTTTCTCTATATATTAACATATAATTTTATATACCACAAACTTAAACTTTAACTCAAAACCCGAACAGTTCTTCTTGACTCATACCAGCAGTAAAATTATGACAATATATTTTCTTAATGACCACTAGATGGTAGCAAAGAATTAGTCTCTCTCATAGCACTGGTGGGTCTTATCCCTGATGACAATGAAGATTCTTATAGGGAAGAGGTGAAGGCTTTGGTTGACTGGTGCAATAAAGATAGCCTGGTTTTGAATGTTAATAAAACAAAGGAGATCATTGCTGATTTTAGAAAGAGCCGGCATAGTCATGCTCCACTTTGTATGAAGGCTGCAGCTGTGTAGGTGGTCCATAGTATTAAGTATCTGGGGGTGCAGATAACTAACAATCTGACTTGGTCTCTTCATACATTATCTTTAGTGAAGCGTGCAAACCAGCGTTTGCATTTCCTGCGTTGGATGAGGAGAGCACATCTTTCTCCTTCTGTCCTGGCTACTTTTACAGAGGCACGATTGAGAGCATTTTAACAAACTGTTTGGTTTGATGGTAGCAGTACCTCAGATAGAAGGCCCATACAGAGAGTGGTAAGGACCATTGAGAAGATTAAAGGAAGCATGCTTCCCGTTCTTCGGGATACTGCTTATAAGTGCTATATGCTCAGAGCTTGAAGCATTATTAAGAGACACCACACACCCACTTCATGGCCTCCCCCCTGGGAGATGGCTCCAACACTGGAAGTTTTTAAGAAGAAAATGGTATAGGGTTACCTGCCTGAGCAGGGGGTTGGACTTGATGACCTCCAAGGTCCCTTCCAACTTTATTATTATTATTATTATTATTATTATTATTATTATTATTATTATTATTATTATTATTATTATTATTATTATTATTATTATTATTATTATTTTGAAGTATTTATAGCAGGACTACTAGATTCTGTAACAGCTTTGTTCCTCATGCCATCTGTCTTGTAAATTCGCGGGATTCTCTTTTATATCCAAATAGCTAAAAAGCACGAGCACCAGGAAATTTTACAAAACTATAAAAGTTTTAATTCAATAATACACCAAGCTTTCGTTGGCCACTGCCAACATCGTCAGGGTACATTCTAGTCGACGGGGAAGCTCCTTTTATAAATGGGACGCCGTCTGCACCCGGCTCCTAGATCGCGTCATGGGTCCTGATTGGCCAATCTGCACTTTGGTCGTGGTTTGTATGTCATTGCCTGCTTTTTCTCTACTTTTCTTACATGTGTGTGCGTTATTGCCCCTTCCTCCCTCCTCGTGTAGCCGTGACCCAAAGGGATTCTTTTTCATTCTTTGCTCACTCGTGGATCCTGCCTCTTTAAGTTGTTCCCTCTTCTCACATTCCTCCCTATTAGTGCACTTTCTTCCGTCCTCCCCCCCCTCTCTGTCTGTCATTTACATTCCCATTGTCATCCTTCCTGCTACAGGGCTTTGCTCTAAGTGTCTCACCTTGGTTCCTATTCTTCTCCCTCATCAGAACCTTTGTCAATTTCACGGGTACTGTCTCCTCCCAGCTTTGTTTTTTCCCCTTTTTTTACTTATATTGGCGATAATTTCTAAGGTGTTATGAGGATCGGCTCTTAATCCCCACTGCTTCAACTGGATTGTCGGTACGGGATGTGCCATCGGGCCCGTCTGCTCCGTCATCCCTTCCGGCTGGTTCTTCCCCTCTTCCCCACGTAGGGGGTTTGGCGGAGTTCTCAGTCCGTTGATCTTCTCTTCGTTACCGTACATCAGCTTCCTTAATCCTCAGGAGCGTGTGCACACCCCCAAGGTGGGGGGGTCTTCTAGTCTCTGAGTACCTCCCCTTTGTCTATGCCTGGGGGGCGTTGTTCCTAATGGAGAACATTTATCGCCCCGTGGTCTACCAGGTCCCCGGGGGTGTCCGCATGCTTTCGGGGTAGAGACGGGGTGGGGGGGTTGTAGAGGTGGTGGTGGTGGTGATGGTGACGGTGGAGGAGTCCCCCGGGTGTTGATTAACTTGTGTTCGTGTGCATATGCAAGGCATCATTCTTTCTAAGCGCTTCGTGTGGTATAGGGAGGCGTCTGGTTTGTTGTGAGTTGGGTCTTTGATGTCAATAAGTTTCCTTGTCTGTTGCAAGTGTCTGCCTGCTCTTGTAGTCGGGAGGTTTTCCAGTTGTCGGATATTTTTTTCTTGGGCTTTCCTTGGTTGTTGTGGAGGGGGGTCATCCCCCCCTAATTTCTCTCTCGGGGGGGCGGTACGGCACTAGAATGTTTTAATCTGGATGGTCGACCACACGTGTCCCATGCCCTCAATGTTACGTAATATATGTATATCTGAACTAGACTGTGATGTTTCTCTATGTCATATATATGTGTGTAGGTGGGTATATGTGTAATGGTTATTGTTTGAGAGCTGAATGCAACAAAATTTCATTTTAATGTATGCTGATTAGTATACATTTAAAATGACAACTATTCTATTCTATTCTATTCTATTCTATTCTATTCTATTCTATTCTATTCTATTCTATTCTATTCCATTCCATTCCATTCCATTCCATTCCATTCCAGTATACATATTCTTGGAATAAGAGTTCCAGTAACAGGTTTAGTGTGTGTGAAAAAGTGTCAGCTGTGGAGGGCTGTGAGATGCACCTGTATAATGTTTTCAAAATGTTCACTGACCTGTCATAGAGATGCTCTGAGAGTGAGATGGGTGGAATCTCTGAATTTAATAAACAAACAAACAAACAAATAAATCGATCTCATCATCATTCTAGCCATTGTCTATCAATTGCAGGATGAAGGTCTCTTCTGCCTGTTTCCAACCAATTCAATCTTGAGCTTTCTTTTGCCAATTGGGTCTGCAATACTTGCTGATGTTGTCACTCCATCTTGCTTTAGTTTTGCGGACACTTTTTTTTGGACACTTTTTATCAAGTGGGATCCATTCTATGACTGCCTTAGTTCATTTGTCATCAATTCTTCTTGCTATGTGACTGGCCCATTTCCATTTCAGTTCTTTTACTCTCATGATGATATCATGTTGACCTATTGGCTACTAAGTGGAAGCAAAATATTTTAATCTTAAATTATTTAGTTTTTAATGTTTTATTATATTTATTACGTTGTACACCACCCAGAGCCCCTCTACGAGGGAGATGGGCAGTTAAGAAGTTTGATATATAAATACATATAAATAAAGATTTTTCTGTCCCTTTCAGCAGTATCTAGAGGTCATCTAGATTTGTTTATTCAAGGCGTAGCTGTTAGATAAAGTATTGAACAGAAGAACAGAACAGAAGTGAAGTTTGAGAAAACATTACTGATATCTGTGTCAAATCATAGCATACATACTATACACCCCATATTATCCAAAAGGGTAGGAGGGAAAAAAAAGTATATTAAAACCATATCTGTAGCAGATGTAGTGACTTTTTTTACAAGAACATTCTGTAAGGCGAGGATGTGAGTAACCTGCCACACAGATGCAAAAGAGCCCACTCTTTTTAGTTACATTTTTAATTACATCTGTTTAGCTATGGGTTGGATACTTAATTTCAGGGCTTACTGCTGTCTGGGGTCATCAGTCATCTAATCTGTAAAAAGAAGAAGAGAAGAGCAGACCTCATAGCCACCTCAAGCCTTCTCCTCCATGTGTCATAGACACTCTGGAAAGGACACCTTCCATATTCTCTGGGTAAGCAGTTTTCATACAGAGCAGCCTGGACTGGCTTCAAATTGCTTCAGCAACGGGCTGCTTATGAGATGGAGGCTATACTATGAGGACATACCCTTAGGAAATGCATGCAAGGTACTTTCACATTGCAGTAGTAGGCTACGGGGATGAGTATGCACTCCCAGTTCCTTCCCAGTACATGCCATTCACTATTTCTGGGGTCTTTTCTCTCCTCGCTGCAAGGGATTTGGCTTTTCCAAAGTGCCTCTTATTGGTCTCAGCCCTTGTAAGTCTTTGCCCATCTCTTGCCAGAACTCCTTCAACATGGCTAGTTATTACCTCACAATATTCTTCTCTTTCTTTCTGATCTATGTTCTTTGACAGATAAGGAGTAAAAGAAACAGCATCTGTTTCTCCAGCTTCTTCACTTCCTGCCCAGATCTTTATTATTGTTTACTAGCTGTACCCAGCCACGCGTTGCTGTGGCTCAGTCTGGTTAAATGGAAAAGAAAGAAAAGAGAAAGCGCATGTTTGTAATATGTTTAATTTCACAATGCTTGTGGGTATGCTTTTACGTCCAACAGATGGCGCTGTTTTTCAAAAAAAGCATGTTTTTACCTGTCACAGGTGTGACATCTATATAATAGTGGGTATATAAAAACACGCGGGTATTCGAATGCAACGTTGTGTCAAAATTTCAAAGCAATCGGTGAAGAACTTTAGGAGATTTAAGATTTTGAACAAACGAACATTTACATTTTTATTTATATAGATAATGTCTTCAAGACCATGCCTGGCTGAGCAGATCAGTAGACAAGGATGATTGTCTGTGGGCTTAAGGAATTTGGGGAGCTCAAGGTGATGGCACGTAAGGATGGATCTAATATTCCTACAGTAACAATCCTTTGAAATAAAATGGATTGAGAGAGAATGATGTGCTTATAGTCACCCAGTGAACTCTGCGGTTAAGTAAAGTTTTCAGCTTGAGTTCCCCCGGTTCAAATGCCATGGCAACTGCAACAAGCCAAAATGACACCATCATGCAAATTCTGAGATTACATATTTCTGTATCAATGTCTGAGGTGAGAATGTACTATGAGTCTCGGCATTTGCTTAATTGTCACATATATTTCATGAGACGGGAAATGTTTACCTTTCTATTTCATCCCTTGCCTCCCTTGCCTACCCTGCAGATATTGAGATCTATTATTATTAAAAAAAATTCTCTATCCTCTTTTTTCTGTTCTGTTTCCATTTTTCATGCATTTCTAGTTTCTTTCTGTTGCTTAGTTTATTTTTTTCAAACAGCTTCCTTGACATAACCCAGTCCCTAAAACATAGGGTGTATATCATGTTTCCCTGAAAATAAGACTGGGTCTTATATTTATTTTTGCTCCAAAAAACCATTAGGGCTTATTTTCGGGTGATGTCTTATTTTTTCATATACAGGAGGTGGTGAGTGTGTTGGGGCTGCCATGCTGGCCCTCCAAGCAGCAGGCAGAGGCAGATACATGGGGGGGGAGGTACGTGATCTGGCCGGGCAACCATGCGGCTGCCTGCCCTGTCCCAGTTGTGGCAACCGTGGGCAAAGACAGACAGTCTTTTGGTGAAGCAGAGCCGGGTCACGGGATCCCAGTGCCCCAGGAGCTAAAGCGCTGGGCCAGGTGCCCACCGCCCAGGGCTCCAGGCAGCCCATGTCGCCTGCTGGGGACCTTAAACGAGAGGGTCGGTGAGGCTCCTCCAGTGGATTAGGCCCTGGCACCCGCCCTGGTCTCGCCCCCTCTCTGGAGACCCCTGGATCCCCCCAGCCCTGCCTGGGCCTCCACAGGTGCCCCCTGACATGAGTGACATGAACTGGCCATATCCACCTGCCACTCGCCCTAGGCCAGCCACCCCCACCCCTCCACTTGCCTCGCCTCGTCTCTGGGGCTTATTTTTGGGGTAGAGCTTAAATTAGTGCATTCTGAAAAATCATGCTAGGGCTTGTTTTTTGGTTGGGTCTTATTTCTGGGGAAACACGATAATAGCTCATATGGCATGCAGCTCAACTTTTATTCCCCCATGAACCAGTAGGTGGCAGAAGAAAACAGCAAAAAGTCATCTTCTGTACTTTGCTTTTTAGTTCTAGGAAGGCAAAATCTTTCTTTAAAATAGGAAGTCTGAGCTGTTTTTCATTTACAGTACAGCGTGAAGAAACAATACTGCTGGTTCTTTACATCCCCTTTTAGATTGTTGAGCCTTCCTCCCTCCCTCCCTCCCTCCCTCCTTTCCTTTCCTTTCCTTTCCTTTCCTTTCCTTTCCTTTCCTTTCCTTTCCTTTCCTTTCCTTTCCTTTCCTTTCCTTTCCTTTCCTTTCCTAAGTTGTAGGGGTGAATGTTTTATGCTTGGGCCAGGAAGCCCCAGGTTCAAATCCAATTCAACCATACAGCTCACTGAATGGATTTCTTTGGCCAGTCACTCTCTCCCTTTCCAGGATTGCTATGATAAGGCTAAAATCAGGGAAGACTCTCCTTCTCCCCCCACAATCTACTTTAGGCTAGAGATGGAATATAAATACATTAAACAACAATAACAATTGACAGCATGCTTCAACACTCTGAGACAAAGGCTAAGAACTGTTAACAGCAACAGTAAATAAAGTAAATAAATGCTATTTTTGAATGCTTTACTCTTCAGACAGCAGCTTTCTATCCGTCTGTCTGTCTACTTTTTAAAAAAAAAGTAAAATAATGATTAAATAAAAGTGAAAGACATGAGTTTTTCAAATTTGGCATGTTTTCAGCTATGATTCCCCCCTTCCCAGCTCAAAGTTTCACACTCTTAATGTTGGAATCAGTTTAGCTGTTTAGGTTTAAAGTGACAACATAGTCACTGATTAGCAGGCAAATAGTCACTTTAAATACGTTCAACATTAACTATTTCATGGAATGGGTTAATCATTTTTAATTAAAGAAAATGTAGAAGGATAATTTAGCAGGTCAGCAAACTGTACTTTGTTTCCTCTCTATTTACTTTCAACATTTGCACAGTTACTCAGTAACTTTATACTGTTTATCAGGGCTGTAACCGTGCTGAAGAGTAGAGCTATGTAGAGAAGAAACAGGACTGGGAAGGGGGTGAACAAGGCAGGGACACAAAGCCCCTGTGGATGGACTATATCTTTGCTTCGGTTCTGCTTCCCCTATCAAATATTTGAAAAAAAAAAAAAGGATAAGGATATATGACAAGAGATTTCTATCAGGCTGGCATATACACTCTGTTGCTATGGGCACAGAAGAATGAGGGAGTACCAAGAAGGCCTTGTTAGCACATTATACTAAAATGAAGATAATTAGATTGCTGTCCATGCCGTCTACTTTCTTGACTTTGGGTATGTTAACCTCAACCATCTCCTCTAAGCCATAGCCTATCTAGCTAAACTTCTTTTGCTTTTTGTGGTTTATCTGTGTGAATGCCTGTGTTTGTTTCCACATCATACCTTTTTGGCTACCCAGTCCTCCAAAGTATTGAGCTGGAATACACTGTCAGCCTTGAAATACTGGGAACAGGTTGTTGTCACTGTAAGCCGTTCTCTCCAGACACTCAGTAGGAATATGCAGAGAGTGTCATGTTCATAATATTACTGTCATAGCCCCTGCAGTCTTATGCTCCACACAGGAGAAAAGTAAATTTTATCCATCTGTTCATGTAGTCATGAGCTTTTGCCAAGAGGGATAACTATAGTCGTAGGTTGCAATATCAAATGTCTGTGCGTGCATGTTTGTGTTACTAAGGAGAAAGTAATANTTCCTTTCCTTTCCTTTCCTTTCCTTTCCTTTCCTTTCCTTTCCTTTCCTTTCCTTTCCTTTCCTTTCCTTTCCTTTCCTTTCCTAAGTTGTAGGGGTGAATGTTTTATGCTTGGGCCAGGAAGCCCCAGGTTCAAATCCAATTCAACCATACAGCTCACTGAATGGATTTCTTTGGCCAGTCACTCTCTCCCTTTCCAAGATTGCTATGATAAGGCTAAAATCAGGGGAGACTCTCCTTCTCCCCCCACAATCTACTTTAGGCTAGAGATGGAATATAAATACATTAAACAACAATAACAATTGACAGCATACTTCAACACTCTGAGACAAAGGCTAAGAACTGTTACCAGCAACAGTAAATAAAGTAAATAAATGCTATTTTTGAATGCCTTACTCTTCAGATAGCAGCTTTCTATCCGTCTGCCTGTCTACTTTTTTTTAAAAAAAAGTAAAATAATGATTAAATAAAAGTGAAAGATGTGAGTTTTTCAAATTTGGCATGTTTTCAGCTATGATTCCCCCCTTCCCAGCTCGAAGTTTCACACTCTTAATGTTGGAATCAGTTTAGCTATTTAGGTTTAAAGTGACAACATAGTCACTGATTAGCAGGCAAATAGTCACTTTAAATACGTTCAACATTAACTATTTCATGGAATGGGTTAATCATTTTTAATTAAAGAAAATGTAGAAGGATAATTTAAGCAGGTCAGCAAACTGTACTTTGTTTCCTCTCTATTTACTTTCAACATTTGCACAGTTACTCAGTAACTTTATACTGTTTATCAGGGCTGTAACCGTGCTGAAGATTAGAGCTATGTAGAGAAGAAACAGGACTGGGAAGGGGGTGAACAAGGCAGGGACACAAAGCCCCTGTGGATGGACTATATCTTTGCTTCAGTTCTGCTTCCCCTATCAAATATTTGAAAAAAAAAAAGGATAAGGATATATGACAAGAGATTTCTATCAGGCTGGCATATACACTCTGTTGCTATGGGCACAGAAGAATGAGGGAGTACCAAGAAGGCCTTGTTAGCACGTTATACTAAAATGAAGATAATTAGATTGCTGTCCATGCCGTCTACTTTCTTGACTTTGGGTATGTTAACCTCCACCATCTCCTCTAAGCCATAGCCTATCTAGCTAAGCTTCTTTTGCTTTTTGTGGTTTATCTGTGCGAATGCCTCTGTTTTTTTCCACATCATACCTTTTTGGCTACCCAGTCCTCCAAAGTATTGAGCTGGAATACACTGTCAGCCTTGAAATACTGGGAACAGGTTGTTGTCACTGTAAGCCATTTAGTGTTCTCTCCAGACACTCAATAGGAATATGCAGAGAGTGTCATGTTCATAATATTACTGTCATAGCCCCTGCAGTCTTATGCTCCACACAGGAGAAAAGTAAATTTTATCCATCTGTTCATGTAGTCATGAGCTTTTGCCAAGAGGGATAACTATAGTCGTAGGTTGCAATATCAAATGTCTGTGCGTGCATGTTTGTGTTACTAAGGAGAAAGTAATAGATTGCATGAACCCAGGGGCTGGAAGGCAGGTGAAACAAGGGGCTGCTTATATAAGGAGGAAAATGTAATACAGAGAAAGATTTTATAGGGATTATGAACCTGACTAGAAAATTTAAGATGAGATTTGCTGGAAGGGCTGCAGGGAGAAATCTATTGGAGATTTCTGACTCTATGGGAAATTAGACCAGAGGTCCCACACATGGGGAAAAGGCTTCCATCAAAGCTCTGGGAGAGTATCAGCATCATATACTGCAGAAAAGAACTTTTGTGATTTGTGCTTCTTCTCTCTCTGGGATGCACACTTGCCCAGCATGAGAACTGACTCGGCAGAAGCTCTGCCTGTCTCTGTCTTGTTTCAAAATGTCCCCTTCCAACTGATAGGACCTGCCAAATATATTGCAAATATATATATCATGACTTTCTTTCACAGAAAAGTAGTTCGCCGTTTTGAAAAAAATAACCAATGTATATGAATGGGCTGATTAGGTAAAAACAGATGGTGATGATAATGATGAAGATAACTCCGAAATACTCATTTTCTGTTAAGCTATCGCTAATCCTTCATATTACCTTCCACTTATTGAACTACACAACATTCCCAACAACTAAATTCTGCTTTACATATACATTGGTTATTTCGCTCAAAATGCAGAGCGTGTATGATACATTCTAAATCTGCATTCACTGTGCATAAAACAAGCATATTTCTAATACTAATTTTATGCATGAAATTTCCTCTCTCCTCAAAAAGTGCAATTAATTTCAGCTGGAATAAAAGTGGTTAGTAAATGTTAGTAAATGTAGTTGGAGTAAAATTTTGCTTGTGATTCAGTAAATCGCAGAAGGATTTCTAAGAGTAAAAGTCACCTGATAAGAAATGAAAAGAGAGGGATATTACAGATCTATAAATCTAAAAGCAGATTTAAAAACAAAGTTGATTGTATTAGATTTTTAGTATTCTAAAAATCCCAAGTCCTGAGCTGAGCTTAGAGCCTAAGAATTATTTTTCCTTTTTCCCTTAACCCCACCTTCCCTCAAAAAGCCTGGTGGAGGCTTACTTGGTTGTCTTCCTTCTCTTCACAAACCATCGCATATGCCCAAAAGATATTTATTTAAATTTCCAGTAATGGCAAAGGAAGAAATTATCATTTAAAAAGGGTCAGTAAATAGAACTAATAGTTATCACAAAAATGCCACATGAAATTAAAACAAAAAATAAAATCCAAACTTCCAGGTTTTTTAAGCCAGGATTTGGAAACCCTATGACTTTTGACCTACTCCTGGTTAACCCCCAGATATTGTGGGTGATTGGAAACCCCTTGATTGCTTGCCATGATGCAAAAGATTGAGCCTTTAGTAATACAGAGGTCCAGCAGGCGGCAGCAGCAGCAAACTTCCATAATTCTCTCCAACTCTAAAACTGAAATAGCACATTCTGTCAGCAATGAAGTGAAATCCCTCCTTAATTTAAAAAAAATGTGCTTCCAGGGCACGTGGCTTGTGAAGGAGACCAAGAATTGGTGGTTATGCTCCAGATATTTGCTGTTATGCTTGGCTGGCTCAGTTGAAAGCACGTTTTGGATTTGCTGTCGTTAAAGATTCTGCTTTTGGTCTCTGTTCCGGTCGTATTAAGGATACTTTTAACTGCTGCTGAAATCTGATAGCATCCCATTAACAAAGGCTGCTACAGCTTTGGAATGCCTGAATATTTGGCAAACATTGTAAAAGGCGCTGATGCTAATCTCCTGGGTGTTCGTTGGCTGGCTGGAGGTATGACACAATGTTATACCAATCTGATTTACTGCGTTAAGTATTTTTCATAACCTAAACAATATTTACAGGTTGTTTCTGCCGGGCAAGTGCATTCTGGAAGAATGAGCATGCTCCAGGTCTCTTCTATTAAACACTGTTGTTTTATGGGACCTGGGCATTTTCTGCCCTCTGAAACAGCATCCCCCCCCCCCCCGGGAAATATGTATAACATTCTCTGAAACTTTGGTCCCATACTGGGATTGTTGTTTTTGTGGGGCTTCTAGTTTGGTGTGATTTGTTATGGTATGATAGTTTTGTTCTAGGCTGCCTGTGGGATGGTATGCTTTCAACTGTTCTTTATTGTTTGTACTTGTATTTGTAAGCCCCCTCAGAGTCAATGAGAATGGGTAGCTATAATAAATTTAAATAATCAGTAAAAGGCAAAGGAATTTTGTATCAAAAATGTTTAAAAAAGATAATCATCATCCCTAGTTTTTTTTTCCAGTCACCTTGCCTCCCTTCCAATTGGTTATGCTGGGCCATTTTTCACAGGTCCCAAGGATGGAAGGAAAAATCGAAGCCATATCATGTTAACATGATCTAACCCAGATGTTAAAGATAAACCCATGCTTCCCAGTCAGCTGAAAGAATTAAATAAAAACCTAGTTAATTAGTCCCTGAAGTTTTGTTTTGGTGAAAGTATTTGAAATACATCCTGAATTTGTGACAGGAATTTTCAGTAAACTTGCTGAAGCTATATGTAAAGCTTCAATGTAATTTTATACTCACTGTACTTGAGCCACACTAGTAAAATTAGGTTCCAGTATACTTTGTACCTATCGTAGTAGGTGAGATCTGTCATCTCTGGATTAGAAAGCCTAGTTTGCATAGTAAAGCAGGAGCTGCTCAGGTTAAAACTGAGATTTGGTTCTGGTTGATGCACATTGGTTAAAATAATCATATTATCCTTTCAAGGGTGCCCTTGAGCAGGACTTCTGTCTCCAAGTGACAAGTTCAAGACACATTTGCGCAGAAGTTACGTTCTGCTATTTTCCAAAGGGTGTACTCCAGAGTAAATATTGCGAAGAGGTTTTATCACAACTGCTTTGTGAGGTGAGTTGGGTGCTGTTCTCTCTGGAACTTTTCGGTCAACATTTTCCCTTTCCTTTGCCAGGAAAGTTCAAGGCTTCAGTGACCCATCACCCTTACTTGGGCAACATAGTTGGGTTATTTCTAGGTAATCCAGGTAATGGCTGATGTGGATGCTGTTGATTGGGTTAGAACAAATGAATCCCTGTTTTTGTTGTTGCTGCTGCTATTGTTGCCGTTACTGCTGCTGTGTAACCTGGTCCCCTCCTGAACTTTCTACTCTGCCACATTGCTACCACTTGCAAAACCTGTCAGGGATTATTTCCAAAGCCTGTCCAGTTGCAAGCATGTGTAAAGTCTGAACGGGCTCAAAATGTTGGAACGCTACATGAAGGTTGAAGAGAAGTAGTTCTTGAATTTATTAAAAACTCATGCTCAAAACCCCAACCCCAAAGGAAAGAAGATAATTACTAAAGAACCATAATAATAGCAGCCTAGAAATGCTGAATTCTCTTTATTCTGATTTCTATCTTATTCTTTCAGGAAACATTCATATAAAAATGTAAAAAATGAAAACAATTAATGAAGAGGACTTTACCTCATTGATTCAGAATTTCCTGTGGTGCTGAACAGCAAATTTTGTGCTCACCAGTTTCAATAACATGGAAACATAATAGTTTAAGAATTCCTGGAAAGTTGTTCTATTATTGGGAAATCATTTGAAGTTTCAAAGCATTTTGTAAAAGCAGCCCTGTGTTAAATGTGCTATTGCTGTCCTCCAGAGGAATTTAAAGTTTGTGTTACTGTGGCTAAATTGGTTATCTCCAGAGATACTGGGTTCCTTGACTTATATTTGCAAAAGCAAACACCCAAACCTGGGCAATTCTCAAATAGTGAATGTGAATGAGATAAAGGTGACTTTTGCTCTTCCAAAGGATGTAGTCCTGAATGGCTGCTGCTTTCTCATTTATTGACCTGGTTTTCCTGTTTATCCTTCCCCTGGTAGTGAAGAGGCTGTCACCAGCAAGTTTGTTTCTTGAGGATCTTCTAGAAACAATACAGTACTCTGCAAAGAAGAGGGAGTGTTTAGAATGAACTGTAATGTAAAGGAATTCTCATTATATTTAAAACTGATTTGGACTGTTCCAAGATCACAGATACACTTAAATAAGACGACAAAGAAGTAGATTTTGTTGAGACTCCTTACCCTTGCCACTTGGAAGGAGAACTTGGGTAACCTTGCATAGGACAAGTGAGAATCACTGCTCTGTTCATTTAATTATGTTTTACAGCTTAGAAATACAAAAACTATGTGGCCCATGTTTTCCCCCCAAATTTGTATTCATAATTCAACATTATATAGCCTATGAATCTAAATACTGTTATTGCCACTTGTTTTATCACAGATGTTTGAATTACCCACTACCATTCCCTTAGTCATTTCCTCTCTCAGTAACAATGGAGTTTTAAATTGACTTGTGAGTGAACTTTTAATTCTAAAAGGCACAATCAAATAACCACATATTTTTTGTTAAAATTTTCCTAAGCATAGTTGGTTACCATTTTTTTCCCTGAAAGACTCCTCATCTACATAAAAGGCAAATGTTTTGGTTTTCAACCTACCCCCATCCCCCACAAAGGACAGAAACAAGAACTTATTTCTGCCTAGAGGGAGAAGTTATAAATGTTGATAAGTAACTCTCCTCAAGGTGAAAGAATAAATTAAGCAGAAAGTAAACCAGTAGGTATGTGAAAGGTTAGAGGAAACCTGGACTTTAGAGGTGATTGGGAGTCTGGGAGGCCTCCTCCTTTCAATAAGTTCATTTAAACATTTTCTGTGATTTTTCAAGAGGAACTTGGAGAAGGATGGAGCTGACATGGACAGGAGTTCTGCTTCTTCTCTGTGTACTCTTCACCCTTTTCTCATCTTTCCAAATGTACAAGAAAAAAAGGCAGCTGCCTGCTGGACCTACTCCATGGCCTATTCTGGGGAACCTCTTGCAGCAAGATATACTACCTCTGTATAAAACCTATGAAAAGGTATGATTTCTTTGAAGTCTATCTATATTACTTCCTTTCTCTAGTTTTAGTAGTTAGAGGTGTTGTTGAGTATTCATATAAGTTTTCAACAGGTATTTTAGCATAGAATTGCTTTGTAGCAACCTGATAAAAGCATAAAGTTGATAAAAGGAATAATAAGTAGTAGTAATAAGAGTTTTAGAAAATTAAATATCTGGTCTCAAGTTTGTTTCATTTGAATTAGCATCAAACTCAATGAAATCTCCTCCTCCTCTAGCCATCCTGCTTGATTCCAGTTTGTTGAAATGCAGACACACCTTCTGTCCTAGCTAACCAAACACTAAGACTATATTTTTTAAAATATGTTTTATTACTTTTTTTAATATAATCACCTTAATATTCGGTGTTGTCTGGGTTTACATTTAAGAAACATTCACTAACAGTTGATTTTTGTAATCTATAATCCACATAATAACTTTACTTGATTTCTTTTTCCCATAATGTTCTCTTTTACCAACCTTAAGTTAATACAATTCTTGTTTTGATGAATGATGATTGAGTATAAAAGTTTACTAATAATCACATCAATATAATATTCCTTTTCTATCTAGTCATTCTGGTTGTCTCATCATAAATCCTGTTTACAGTTCTTGCTTACATTTGTTTTTCCCACAATATTAAAAACATTCTTACTGGTTAAGATTTTCTCAAAGTTAATTACATTTAAATATTTAAGTCTATTTTTCTCATGTAAGCCAACCCAATACTTTTACCTTTCTTAAGGAATAAATAAGACTAAAAAAAGAAAAAAGAAGAATAAGAATAAAAAAGATAGTATGCTACTTAAAATCCCTATTTCCTATAAGCTAATACATATTTATTTCCAAAAGTTATTTGTTCTTTTTTTACCATAATTAAAAATATATTTAAACTTTAAATATTCCATTTAATAAATCTAGTCCTCTAGTCTTTTAACTCTTATTCAAAACATTTTTTTTAATCTATTGTAATTTTCTTAGAGTCAATCACCTTTAGATATCTAAAACATTTCCTTTATATAAGCCATTCCAACTCTTTTATATTACTCATATCAAGAAATAAAATAAAAAAGAAGAAAAAGAAAGTACTATGTTACTTGAGGGGCTTTTCCCTCTTAAAGTCAAATTCACATCCAAAATTTTTATATTTCTTTTTTAAATATTCTCTCTGATAGGCCCCATTGTCTATTTTCTTAATTTTCACTTTAGTGTTTTTCTTTTGCCCAGTATCTTTCTTAATCAATATGTTCTGCTAAGTCAAAGAATCTTTCCATATTCTTGTAGGTGTTACTATAGATATAAAAGGTAAGTCAAGTACAATATCTTTGTGAGAGGCATTTGCCCATTCATTTTTGTTGAAAATCTTTTTCTTTCTTTTCCCCTCTGCTTCTCTTATCATTTTTTGTCTCTCCAGTTCTAGTGTTTTTCCTGGCATCTCCTGGAATAATCTTTTTTCTTATCCTCAAATTTGTTTTGTAGTGTTAAAGTATAATTGGCTTTTCCAAATCCAGTATTGTAATTTTTTCCCCACTTGGGTTAAATCAGGAGTAGGCAAGCTTGGCTCTTTTATGACTCGTGGACCTCAACTCCCAGAATTCCTGAGCCAGCATGGCTCAGCTTGGAAACCTCTCCCTTTCCCCTCAGCATGGCTGGCTCCGAAATTCTGGGAGTTGAAGTCCACCAGTCATAAAAGAGTCAAGGTTGCCTACTCCTTGGTTAAATCATACTTCTTTGTTTTGTTAGGTTCCATCTTTAAGTCTCTATCCTCAAATTTGTATTCAGTTGTCTGTTTTATCTGTTCCTTCTCTGTTGTTGTTTCCTGGGATTTTTTGTTGTTGTTGTAAAGATAAATTGGAGATGAATTGGTTTATATTTTCAAAGTTATTTTGGATTTCTTTGCGGTTTGAAATCATTGTTATTTGAATTAGTTGCAACATATCGTATGTCTCCTCTTGAAAAGTATTTATTTTTTCTTGATAGGTTCTTTCTATAAATCTCTGATTTTCCATGATGACCAAGAATCCAAATTTCCTTTTCTCTGCAAATAGCTTTGGGGTCAGAGTTAAGTAGATACTTGTAATCCAGAAAGTTAAAAAAAAATTTTTTTTTTGTTCCCTGAAGTTTGTAAGTCTCACTTTGTTTGCAGCCCAGATTTTCTTTTTTGTCACAGCTGTTCTCTGTTGTTAGAGCTTTGAAAGTCACAAGTAGAGATTAGTTTTTTCCAGATTTTGCCAAGTCCTGCATGAAAGCCATAGCTGTTGTAGTCTTCATCCACCACTAGATGTCAGCACTGGTTTATTTTTCAAATTTTCAAAATGAACAAATTGCCTTTAAAATGAGAGTCTTAACCATTCAGTAACTTCAAACTTATCCAAATTTAGGTTTTATAGTCATTTCATTTCATTTCAATACATTTTGGTTCTTCATAAAAGGTTTAATTCGCCGCTTCCGTTAGTAAAAGGGTGGGGCAAAAATCCCCCTCCTTCACTTTCGGAGGTTTTCTGTTTCTTGGGATTTTTTTTTCCTTCAGGAAAGTTGATAAGTAGGATAGAGAAAATCGATGTTCTTACCCAGATTCAAACGCGCTGTTTACAATCAGCTTAAAATAGTGCTTTTGACTTTGGTTGCTTGCAGCTTGGGCTAGACTCTGAAGTTAGGCTAGCCTTTCTCCTGTTGGTTTCTGGAAGGCTTCTCCTGGACTGATCAGGTCGACCGCCATTGCTCCGAGGTCCTTGGGACTTCCTTCCTTTGCCGCCTCTTTGGGGCGGCTTCTGGCCCATTTAGGGTTCCCTAACAGGAAGAAACTCGGCCAAAGGGCACGGAGTCCCGAACCCCTCGACTGCTGCACTGCTGCGCAGGACCGGAAATCTCTGACACTAAGACTATCTTATATGGGTTGCAAAAATCTGCATAATCACTAGACATCAACAAAAACATACAGAAATTCCTTGCTGCAACCTAGTGATATCCAGTTTCTTGAAGACCCTCAATGAATATAAATATAATGGGGAACTACAAAATAGCAAAGCATAATGCTTACTTAAGGTTGAAAGGTGGTGAATTGTAAGACAATGGACAATTTATGGCAGTGATGGCGAACCTTTTAGTGCCCAAACTGCAACCCAAAACCCACTTATGTATTGTCGGGTGCCGGGTGGGTGTGACCCGTTGGGTAGGTGTGGCCCATTAGGTGGGTGTGGCCCATTGGGTGGGCATGGCTGCAGTGGTATTGGCAGACTGGGTGGGACTAAAAAGTTCAATCAATCAATTCCAACTTTTCAAGATTTTTTTTCCCGTGAGAAGTTGAAATTGACTGATTGATTGAACTTTTTTTTTGTTTGCACACGGACGGCAGTGGAGGCCTAAAGCGAAAAGGTTTTATAAAACCCAGCTGAAGGCCTAGGACTGGAGCGACGGTGCACGTGCCCACAGAGAGGGCTCTGAGTGCCGCCTCTGGCACCCGTGCCATAGGTTCGCCACCACTGGTTTATGGTTTTCTTGGGGGTTGATTGGAGTTTGATCAAACTAGAAAGCTGTAACAGGCAAAGTTTGGTCACTTGGAAAGTTTAATTCTAACTTGAAGAGTGAAAGAAGTCTAATGATACCAGAAAGGGTGAAACAAACAGTACTAGGAAGTTTTGGTACTTTTGTCTTGTATGTCACAAATGCAACAAAATCTCTATTTTATCATGTACAGCACATGCTATTGTATGTGAACTAGGATATTTAATTCACATAAAAGTAAACATGCTTTTAGCCATGTTAAGTTTTGTGAGAAAGTAATAATGTTAATGTGACTGTGTCTAAAGCTAAATTTTTCAAAGGATAATGTTCTGTTGAATTATATACTTACCGGTGATATATGGAATTTGACAACTATACAGCATACATGGATTCTCCATGCCATTATCATAATTAAAAGATTGATACTGCTACATTGGAAAGATAAATGTAAGATCCATTTACTCAGTGGATTGAAGACTGATTATAGTTGCTACTTAAGAGTGGATTGCCTATTTATACAAAGTACAATTGATTAAAAAACATGATTGTCACAAGTATTAGAAATATATATGTATATACATAATATATGTTTGTGTGTGTGCAATTATATGTGTATATGTGTATTTACTAGAAAATGATATTGAAAAAAATGGTAATTGTTTATTGTTTTAACAACATATTATAATAGGAACTGTGGTGGCATAGTGGTTATAGAATGTAGTATTGCAGGTTAATTCTGCTGACTGCCAGGTTCAAGGTTGACTCAGCCTTTCATCCTTCCGAAGTCGGTAAAATGACCCAGATTGTTGGGTGCAATATGCCGACTCTGTAAACCGCTTAGAGAGGGTTGTACAAGCACTGTGAAGCGATATATAAGTTTAAGTGCTATTGCTACATTCCATGCCTTATTTTTCTGTGCTGTATTTTTTCACTTATTTTTAAAGCATTTGTTATGTATTTCTTGATAATGTATGTAATTATATGCTTTGTTTCTTTTGCTTTTTTCTTTTTCTGTTATTTTAAAAGCAATTACATTTAATATAAACCCATATGATTAGTCATATCCCACAAACTAGTAGACATCTGCAATGTTCTGGAATCTAGTTGTATTTGTGGATGTTAAGACTTCTTGGAATTTTCCTTGAACATTTTGAATGTTTCTCTGTGATAATTTAAAATGTACTTCAAACATACTTGGGAATAATTTCACTCCAACATGGGTCATCAACTAATTAACTAGGTTTTCATTTAATTCTACCTTTAGCTTATTGGACAGTATGGTCCTATCTTTACCATCTGGATTGGATCAAAACCAATGGTTGCGATCTGTGGATATGAGATGATAAAAGATGCTTTGATAGATCATGCAGAAGAATTTAGTGGACGTATTATTGTGCCCACCATTGAGCGAATATTCCGTAATCATGGTTGGTACTTTTGCACATCCTTATTTGCTCTTCTTTTTCTTTGCAAGCTGTTACATGCATTTTAAATTGTGCTAGAGAGATCTAGAAATTATGGTAGAGAGATCTAGAAAATTTCACTTGAAAGATGATTTTGCAGAAATGTTAATTTGGTCACAGTTGTAGAAGAGAGAATAAAACTGTACCATCTTTCCTGTTAATAGTCCATTATGAAGTATGTAAGTACACACACACACAGAGACAGAGAGAGAGACAGAGAGAGAGAGTGTGTGTGAGAGAGAGAGACAGAGACAGAGACAGAGAGAAAAGAAGGAAGGAAGGAAGAGAAAAAAATAAAAGAAAGAAAAAGGAAAGAAAGAAAGAAAGAAAGAAAAAGAAAGAAAGAAAAAGAAAGAAAGAAAGAAAAAGAAAGAAAGAAAGAAAGAAAGAAAGAAAGAAAGAAAGAAAGAAAGAAAGAAACACTCTCATTTCTATATTGGCCCTTTGGAAAGAGACCCAGAAATACTTTTTCAAATAAAACTGTTTTGGCTGATGCCGTCTGGGCTATTGTTGAAAATTAATTTCATATACCTTCAAAAGGAAATGTCTTCTCTTAGCCAATGAGTGTCTCTATTGCACAAATGTTGAAGTGAGTTTATTTTTTTTCCTGCTTCCTGAAAATTGCAGGGACAGTATAGAATTGTCTCTATGTTCAATATACATCATATATTTTTGCCTATATCACAATGGCAGAAACTTGTATCATGATCTTCATAACCTTACATTCTCCTCTTGATATGACAGCAGTCAGGATTGGGGCCCTGAGTGTGTGAAGGCTCTCATCTCCCAGTTATACTAATGACTAAGAAAATGTATTTTTCACAGCTACTACATATTTTAAATTTTATAATTGTTATTGGAATTGTGTTAAAGATAAACACAATACCAATAACAATTATAAAATCTAAAATATATAGTAGTTGAGAAAAATACATTTTCTTTAATATTGCCCAGAGTAAAGTTTTGAGATAGGTAGCTACATAAATTGAAAATGAATGAATAAATAAATGGAAGCTGTATTGGCTAATTAATATTTCAAGCTGCCAGTTGTACTTTCTGAAAAGTGGGAGATTTTGTGATCCATAATATATTTCAGTGCAGTGACCTGTTTTTGCTATCAGCAGGACAAAGATGTGAAGGAGAAAAGTACTTGTAACCATTGTTTATATTGAAACATGCTACTTCTCAAAAGCTGAAAACTGACATCATGCTCTTTTCCCTGTGTCTTTGGTTTCAGGTCTGGCCACTGCTAATGAGAGAAAATGGAAGGAGATGAGATATTTCATTCTATCTACCTTGAGAAATTTTGGGATGGGGAAGAAACAAATGTCTGAAAGAGTGCAGGAGGAAGCCTCTTTTCTAGTGGAGGAAGTAGACAGCATGCAAGGTCCTATAAAAAGCCCAAAACACTTCTCCTGCAGAAGAATAATTTCATTTGTAAAAAGAAGCCGAGAGGGGTTTTGTATCATGTAGGATTACAGGAAAATTAGATTCTAAGTTGAAACTCAAATACGTCTGCATTTTATTCTGCACAAAATAAAGAAAAAGAAAGAGAGACGGCAACAAGCCCCCTCTCCTTCCCTTACCGTGTTGTTTTCACACTGGTGTTCAGGAGTAGAGATAAAAATACACATAGGAAATATATAAAACTTTCAAGCTGTTTCCCACACTTTTCTACCCACCATCAGCTCTTGGCTTCATAAAATTACAAGGATACTGAGAGGGTGTGAAATTTTAATGTGGCTGCAGCAACTGATCAGAAATACTAGGAAGTTGTTTAATGGGGTAATTATGGATTTTTAATCAGGGATATGTTTAACCAGGTTTAATATCAATGCTAAATTCAGCAGCCAGTAAAATACTTTATGGATAAATGAGATAGGTAAACTAAGGTAGGTAAAGAAAACATGGATAAGAATATTCTGCATGAGGGATGAAGATCTGTAGGCAATGTAGACTTAAAAAGCTACAAATAAAATTTACTCGGGGAGTTATATTACCTTTGAAAACCATCTTCAGTGGAGTCTAGGGAAAGAGATAGGAAAAGAAATAAAAACAAAGAGTGCGGCACTGTTTTTAAAAAAGTGTTGGCTAGATTAGAAGGAGAGGGATATGGAAAGAACAAAAGCTCGGTTAAAACTGGAAAGAGAAGCAGAAAGTTCCAAAAGGTAAAGAAGAATTAAGTTGGTCAAGGGAAAGGAACAAAAGAAAAGAAACCAGCTATGAACAGAAAAATGCAGAATGAGGAGCCCCAGACAATGAGAAAAAATTGTAGACAGCAGAATCCAGTAATAAAATGGTGGAAACATAATGTAGGCTTTCATGTATTTAATCTATATAGTGGTACCTTGGTATTCATTGTTAAGTGGTTCTAGGAGGCGTGATGAGTACCAAAAATGAACAGTGTTTACCATAATGAATAATGTAGTCAGTCACAAAGCAGCTGACACCAAGTTCTAGCTTGTGCGTTGACTACCAAACAAACGATGAGTACTGGGACAAAATTTTCACATCAAAATGTGTTGACTACCAAATCTGATAAATTTCAAAGCAGTTGAGCACCAAAGTACCATGGTATCAGACACCACTGTGAGCTGTTGGGTCATCCTTTGGCAGAGATTGTGTAGGTGTGGGAAACCTACCCCAGCAACTTGCGACCTTCCCTTCAAGCTTCCCAGGAAGGAAGAAGTCCAAACTCAGCGCTACATTCCCGCCATCAGCCATGATCATATGATCCCCATTGACTTTCTCTTTGCAAGCTTTTCAGGCTTCCCCATTGACCTGTGGGGAAGTGCCAGAGTACGTTGTAAATAAGGATCATGTGACTGCAACAGCACAGAAGCAGCAGCAGCAGCAGCAGAGCATTGCTGAAATGGCAAGAACTTTCCTAAATTCTATCCCCACAGGAGCAGTGGGTCCTGGCATTCTAGGTTAGCCCATTTAAGGCAGAGCTCCCCAACCTTTTGGGCACCAGGGACCAGTTCCGTGGAGAGAGGTTTTTCCACAGACTGGAAGGGGCATGGTTTCGTGTGCTGCCTGCATCCCATGGATGGGGCTTTACTGGTTGCTGGCATGCTGCGGCCCGGTGCTGATCCATGGACCAGGGGTTGGGGACTCTGAATTTAAGGTATCTCAGTTGAAAGTGTTTTGCCTATGATACACCATTTCATCCGGTTGAAGTTACAGACACAAGAGTTTTAGGATTATATAGATTTTCATATATTTTAACATATTTAATGGATTCCAGAGTAATTACCCATCTGGACCACTTCATTCTAGAAAGATCATGATTCTTATTCAAGGTTTATAATGAGATTTGTGGAAAGAAAGCACAGCATTTTCTGAACCCACTCATAAATATTTGTGACCTTTCTTGCAGGGCAGTCTTTTGAACTAAAAAGAAAATGTACAAGTGCTGTTTCTAATGTAATCTGTGCAGTTGTCTTCGGCAATCGATTTGATTACAAAGATCAAACGTTCATGGAGAACCAACATACTGTAGAATCTTTATTAAAACTCTGCAGTAATTTCACAGGAATGGTATGTTACTCATCTATTCTGCACCTCCTATCTTGAAGCTTCATTTTTACTAGCAGGGATGCAAATGCTGAAGGCAAAAATGTGAAAACTAGATATAATGAACTGCAGATCTGCAAAAGCTAAATCTAGACATCCAGAGAGGCTGAGCCACCCAAATATCAGTTGATTCCCAGTTCACCTCTCATAGCTGGATTTATTTCCCATGGGCCATTTTCTTCCCTGATCATTGGGCTCTAGCCTACTTTTTCTAGTATTTACTCATTTGTTAACTTGCCAGGGAGGTCCAAACATGAAATTTCACTGGAATGGTTGATGCCTCTTAATATTTCACTGCTATTTTCTCCATGCTACCTTTGTGATACATAGCAGTATTCCACACAAACAAAAAGAACGTATATTATATATTTTTAAAAAGTGCATGGCACATACATACCAAATAATATTGGCAACATTAATTTTCATGTTAAATTATTGACCTGTCTCTTTCTCTCTCTCTCTCTCCCCTCAGTTTTTTTCCAGTTAGCTGTTACTTTTGTGCTAATAATCACACTCTCTTTTCTCTATTTCAAAGATTATGAGCAGTTACACTATTATCCATTAATGTGAGAGATTGTGGGTAGGGTAGGAAAATAGTGGGTGAATCAATTGACAGACTACCTTGCAAATGGAACTCAACCCAAGTGGGTAGAGATCTGGGGAAAATCTTTTCAATAACAGTTTGCTTTAATTAACTTGTTGTAAATATAAATTCCTACTACATTTTCCCAAATTCTCTATTTATTTGAGACTACCATTACAGACATTTTTGTGAAATCCAATTCTTGCCTTCTTGACCTTGGCACCTATGGGAGCCTTGACAATTAGCAATTTCACTGTAAAAATTAATTTCTGAATGTTCGGAGGATTATGATGCCACCACAATAGTATAAAAATATATGCTATTTAACCTGAAATTTGCTACAGGTGTACAATAGTTTCCCAAAAATAATGGAATATTTTCCTGGACAACACACAAAGACTTTTGCTGAAATTGAAAAACTCTGTGACTTTATCCATGAAAAAGTGGCACTTCACCAGAAAACACTGGATATTCAGGAACCCCGTGACTTTATTGATTGTTTCCTCATCAAATTAGAGAAGGTATATATGTGTGTGTGTGTGTCTATGTGTATGTATATATTATGTTTGTGTATGTGTATGCATGTGTGCATGTTTGTGTGTGTGTGTGTGTAAAAGTTCTGCATAAATATGAGTATTCCCTGATATGCATCTAACATGAAACTAATTTACCTAATGTGAACCATTATAACATTATGTATTCTCCATATTCTATCTTTGCTCTTGGACAATCCCACATTGCTAGTTCTTGACATATATTTTTCTTCTGGCTATAATTGCTGTTGCTAAAAATAGATATACTTTTCTCCAGATAAGTTGAGCATGAGAAATCTCTATTTGGTATTCTTTATGCAGAAATCGAAGTAAATGGAAGCTTCCTTAAAATAATGTTGGTATATTCATAGTAAAGCTATTTAAAAAAAAATTAAAAAATGAGTGTGTAGAATTTTGTTCCCCATTCTAATTCATTCTTTATAGGATGTTTCTTTAGATTCGTAATAGATCATATGAAGATGATCAAGTGAAATTTCCTGGAATTTATAAGCAATTTTGATTAGCCTCTCAGATGAAACATCCAAGCTTCTATGATCAGATTTAATTCTGTTTTCCAAGCATACACCTTAGGAATTCTTTAGCTGAATTATACATAACAACCTCGGTCAAAAACAAAATATGCATTCTTATAATTTGGCCATTCCTTATAGTAAATATTTAGTTGAAGGGCCACCTCATGATATGGACAAGATGTTTTCGGGCCCACACTGCCTTTCCCCGTAGCTTCCTTGAGCCACACAGTCACACCCTCATGCATCCTCCATGACTCAGGCTGCCTCCTGCACACCTTCCCTGACCCACATGGTACCTCTTGCACCATGACTCAGGCTGCCTCCCGCACACATTCCCTGACCCACATGGTACCTCTTGCACACTCCCAAACATTTCCAGGCACCTTTTTCAAATCACTTCAACTCCCTGCTCACCTCTTTCTGATCCTCATGCATCCTTCCCAACCCATTCTCTCTCCCCCCTGAGGGGGAGTGGCAGTGCATTGCCACTGACCCACATGGCACCTTTTGCTCCTTCTCAAGCAACCCCAGGCACCCTTCCCAACCTGTGCCACCCCTCCTGAGTTCCACACACCCTTTCCGTCCCAAATCACTCCCTGTGCCCCTTAATTGACTGCATGGTGCCTCTAGTGCACCTCATGTATCTTCCCAACACATACTCCGCAAGCTCATGTCTTCTTTGATCTGCATGGCATCTATTATGTATACTCACGCACTTCGATGCTCCCTGCCAATTTTCCACTAGGAAATACACTGGGGGAAGTTGGAAGTCACCATTGCTCCCACTGCTTTTTTTAACCAGTCACCAGTGGTGACTCAACAGGGCACAGGTTGTCTAATACACTCTAAAAGCATTTTGAATTAATTACTTTTCCTTTAATTGGAAGATACATTAGATTGAACTTCATGAGCTACTATACTTGTTTTTTACTTTTTTATTAATTTATAATATAAAATACAAAAATACAAAAAAAAAAAGGAAAATAGGGAAGGGAAAGTGTCATGTGTCTGATTAACGAAACACTTAAAAGGACTTTCAGGCATATTTTTCCTAAAAGCATTTATTAAGGTTACAGAGATGTCAGTACGGCATGGTGGAAATGCTTAGATCTGAGATTCTTTTCCGTTGCACATACATTCCAGGCATTTTTCCCGCCCCTATTTTGGGGTCATGGTTCACATCTTCCAATTAACTTGGAAGATGTGATTTACTTCCGGTTTCTTTTTCCCCGGGCTTTCCTTATTCTCCTCCCCTTTCACTGTTGCCTGATTTAACTATAAAAATACCAGACAGTTCTGCATATTATCAAAGCAAGAATATACAGCATTTGCAGTGTTGACAGAAAGGTGTAGAAAAGAGGGGGAAAAGAAAGAGAAGGCATTGACTTCTGACTCATTTGGTGCAGTAGAATAAGATAACGACATCAAACCTCAACTTTTTACTTTTACATAATGGTATAAACTAGCTATTACTATAACAACAATCCTATCTAATCGGTAAAACCCAAAATCAAAGTTTCATTTTTTCCCCACCTCAAGCACAAAGTCCAGAAGCAGTTTCCAAGTAGAAACAAAAGTAATTGTATTTTTTTCTTTAATCAAAGCAGCTAGTTTAGCCATCTCTGCTAACTCCATCAACCTTTGCAGCCATTTGTCCATTGCGGGAATCAAAATGTCCTTCCATTTTGTGCATAAAATAGTCTTGTTACCATCAACATATATAACCTCAAAGTTCCAAAGTTTTTTCCAAGTCTTTTTCCATTAAATCCAAAAGAAAAGTTTCTGGTTTTATCTTTATATTCTTCTGTATTAGGATGGGAATCCTATTCCAATATTTCTTTGCTTTGTCATATGTACACCCTAAATGATAAAATATCCCTTCTTTACATTTTCATTTTCAACATTCATTTGAAATACTTTTATACATTCTTGACAGTTTGGTGTTAAATACCAGCAATACATCATCTTATAGAAATTTTCTTTTAAATTATAATTTAGTGTAAATTTTAAACCTTTCGTCCACATATTCTCCCATTGGTCAAGCATTACATTATATCCAAAATTCCTTGCCTACTGAATCATTCAATGCTTTACATGTTCATTTTCCAATAATAATTTATAGATCTTAGCAATAATATGTTCATCACTACTACACAGTAGGATTTCAAATTCATTTTTGACAAAGTCAGACCTATAACTTTTTTTATCTAATTTAAATCTTTCTTTCAATTGTAAGTACATAAACCAATGGCAGACATGTCCTTCTGATTGTAACTCCTCCTTAGACTTTAGGATAAGATTACCAAAATTAAAATATATTATTTGACCATAAATCCACCAGTCTGGATTTGCCATCATTTCTTTTCTAAAGGTGTCCTTCTTGGGACACCCAAATAAGCATCTTCATAGAAAATCTTGTTTTATATTTATTCCAAACTCTTAAAATGTCACGTCTAACAAAGTGATTATTAAAATCAACATTTACTTTAAATTTGCCATAAATAACCGTGTCCCAAAGATGCTTTTTCACAGGGCAACTGGACTTTTTGTTTTTCTTTGAAGATGTTTCGCTTCTCATCCAAGAAGCTTCTTCAGCTCTGACTGGACGGTGGGGAATGGAAGGATTTATACTCCTTGCAGACAGCAGTTCATTTGCATTCTTTTAAAATGCAAGGAGTATAAATCTTTCCATTTCCCACCATCCAGTCAGAGTTGAAGAAGCTTCTTGGATGAGATGCGAAACATCTTCAAAGAAAAACAAGAAGGTCCAGTTGCCTCTTGAAAAAGCATCTTTGGGATAACTATGACCTGGATGACTGAGAATCTCCATAGACATAAATAACTGTTTCATCCAAATCTTAATTCGTGACCTTCATGAATTAAGTAACCTCTACTTCAGAGATCCTCAACATTTTGGGCACCAGGGACTGGTCCATGGAGAGAAGTTTTTCCGTGGACCGGAGGTTGCATGGTTTTATGTGCTACCTGAATCTCGCGGATGGGGCTTTGCTTGTTTGTGCGGACCAATTGCTGGCATACCGTGGCCCTGATCTATTTGACCTTCATGATCAAGTAGCTTCTTATTCTGGAGGTTCACCTACTCTTTTAGCCAGATTAAACAACAAGCATCAAAATATAGTTTCAAATATGGTAAACCCAAACCCCCTCTTTTCTTAGCATCTTGCAGTAATTTATATCTAATTTTTGGTTCTTTCCCTTGCCATATAAACTTAGAAATATCCATCTGGCATTGTTTAAATGGAGTATCTGTTGCAAATATTGGTAACATCTGAAACAAAAAAAGCATCTTGGGTAAAACAGTCATCTTAATTACAGAAATTCTACCCAATAATGATATAAATGCAGTTTATCCCATCTTAATAGGTCCCTTTTTGATATCATTCCAGAGAAGCACATAGTTATTTTGAAATATGTTTTGCATTTGTCAATATAATCCCCAAATATTTCACCTTTTTCTCAACCCCAAAATCAGACTTTTTAGTCAATAAACTATCCTGAGAGGCCATATTCTTAATAAGCATTGTTGTTTTCTGTTTATTTTAAAAGCCGCTAAACCCCCAATTCATTTAATTTCCACATAAAATAGTTTTTGGTCTTGCAAAAATATAACCAAATCATCAGCAAATGCCCTCAATTTATACACTTTCTTCTTGATGCTTACACCTGTTATTTTCTCATATCTCATGCCTAATATCTCTGTTCAAAATTTCCAGCACCAAAATAAACAATAAGGGAGTCAAGGGACTGGTACCCTTTTGAATTTCACATGAATTGGTTAGATCACCATTAATAATAATTTGTGTTTGCTGTGACATATAAACTGCTTTGACCCCTTGAATAAAATTCTCTCCAAAGTCCATGTCTTCCAAAATTTTAAACATAAAAGCCCAATTTAGGTTGTCAAAGGCCTTCTCTGCATTTAAAAATATTAAAGCTGCCTGTTTCTCATTATGATATTATAAATATTCAATAATGTTCAGAATAGTCTCTTAACTATCATTGCGTCATCAGATAATCGCCCGGCCACCCTCTTCAGGGTGACTCGCTCCCTCCTCCTTGGGGGGGAGGGCTGAGGATTTTGCTCAATATCTGTATGACAAAGTCGCTCGGATCCGAGAAGGTCTTGACTCTGACTGGGTGGCCCCGGGGGAGGAGTCAGGAGTAAGTCTTGAGACGGTTATATGGGAGGAGTTTGACTCTGTGGCTCTCGAGGATGTGGACAGGATTCTCGGGAGGCTGAATGCAACCACATGTTTACTGGATCTGTGCCCCTCCTGGCTGGTACTGGCTGCCCGGGAGGGTACACGAGCCTGGCTCCAGGGAATTATAAATGCTTCTTTGTGGGAGGGTGTCTTCCCCGTAACCTTGAAGGAAGCGGTGGTGAGGCCCCTCCTTAAGAAGCCTTCCCTGGACCCAGATGTGTTAGCTAATTATCGTCCGGTCTCCAACCTTCGCTTCGTGGCGNATTTCAGACAAATGGCTGTCCAGTCTCTTCTTAAATAATTAATATTAAACAATAGATATTGAAAAATAGACCCACATGCTTCTTGAAGCTGTGAGGGATCCATTACAGGAAGTTTTCAAGCAAAAGTTGGACAGCTGATGTTACAAATATAATTTTTGTCACTTCCATAAATTCAATACATCCCAAAATTCAACCCCAAATTTTTTTTTTTAAAAAAAACAACATTCTCAACTACCCTGACAATAAGTAGAAAAATATGTTTCTTTACCAGAAGAGGATTTTCTTTTCTTTCTTTCTTTTTCTTTCTTTCTTTCTTTTTTTTTTTAGATATTAGAATGCCCAATTTTGGCACAGCATGGTATAAAAGCATGATGTGTGCTTCTCTAGCATAAAATGAGTCTTGTTAATAAAGAAACTGATTAACAATTAAAGAGCGTTATGCTTAATAATGTGACTTCATAAAAAAGATGAACCCTGTGAACTGGTGCTTCTAAATTTTCAGTGCGTAATCAAACATAACATTTACACAACAGAATAAGAACTAATAGTATTCATATTGATATATTAACTATCAGACCAGAACATTAACTGGTGAATCTAGTAGGTTTAGGCTGCTGTCTACCCAAACTTTTTCATATATGTCTGCTTTGAATGCAAGAGTTATATCATTCTTTTTCTCTATGTGTAGCTCTCCTTATGACACCTGTACCCTTTTCAGGGTTGTTTTTGACTTGTCAGTCTAACCAAAAACCCAGAGATCTTTTGTCTAAGTACTAACCAGTCCAAGCTTGCTTAGCAATCCAAATTTAGACAAGGTCAGCCCAATACCGCCACCTACTGAGACAGAAGCTGTGAATGCTCCAACACTAATAATAATAATAATAGTAAAGTTGGAAGGGACCTTGGAGGTCATCTAGTCCAACCCTATACCATTTCAGACAAATGGCTGTCCAGTCTCTTCTTGAAAACTTCCAGTGTCGGAGCATTCGCTGCTTCTGGAGGCAAGTTGTTCCATTGATTAATTGTTCTAACTATCAGGAAATTTTTCCTTAGTTCTAGGTTGCTTGTCTCCTTGCTTAGTTTCCACCCGTTGCTTCTTGTCCTGCCTTCAGATGCTTTGGAGAATAGCTTGACTCCCTCTTCTTTGGGGCAGCCCCTGAGATATTGGAACACTGCTATCATGTCCCCTCTCGTCCTTCTCTTCATTAAACTAGACATACCCAATTCCAGCAGCCTTTCCTTATATGCTTTAGCCTCCAGTCCCCTAATCAAGAAGAGACTGGACAGCCATTTGTCTGAAATGGTATAGGGTTTCCTGCTTGAGCAGGGGGTTGGACTAGATGACCTCCAAGGTCTCTTCCAACTTTATTATTATTATTATTATTATTATTATTATTATTATTATTATTATTATTATTATTATTATTATTATTATTATTATTATTATTATTATTATTATAAGACATTTTCCATGGTCATATAGCTAGCATGACTATATGTCAAGGCTCAGGGAATGCTGTTACCTTCCCACTGAAGTGGTACCTATTTATCTACTTGTATTTACATGCTTTCAAACTGCTAGTGTGAGTAGGAGCTGCAGCAAGGGACGGGAGCTCATCCCGTCGCATGCACTTGGGTCTCAAACCCAGCCTGTCCAGCTGACAAGCGTAGCATCTTTAACCGTTGAGCCATCGCGCTCCCAACTATTTAAGTACATACTCCACCATTAAAAAAAAGGTTAGGAAATACTAGATCTCACCTTCCTCTTAGTCATTGTATGAAGCTCTCCTCCAAATTATGGATACCCGTTTTTTTTAAAGTATAATGGAATGAATTGCTTGCCACCAGCCTTCTGATGTCTCTTTGCTCTCCCAACAGGTCCTGATAAATATTCTCATTATGGTTCTTCTAAGAAGGCTGGGATAGACATAAGATGCTTGGTGTCTTCAGTGTTTACTTCCATATCTGATGGGAGAATTGTGTGTTTATCATACTGTAATTGCTGTAATTGCTGTAATTGCTGGATTTAAGCAATAGCATTGTGAAGAAGAAGAAAAAAGCAATAGTAGAATCACAACAGAAGGCATACCACTTCCATATTGTCCTCACAGTGGTCTGCCACTCAGAAGCCCACAAATTAGGGGGGGAAAGCTGAATGGATCAATCCACAGTAATTCTATTCAGCATCTCTGGTTATAATGCAGTATTTGTTTCAGTCAGTTATTCTCTTAATTTTGGACAATCCAGGTTTGGTCACATTGGTGAATGATCTCTGGAGGGCCCGGGACAGGGGTTGTTCCTCTGTCCTAGTTCTTTTGGACCTCTCAGCGGCTTTTGATACGGTGGACCACGGTATCATGCTGCGGCGCCTGGCTGAGTTGGGAGTGGGAGGCACGGTTATGCGGTGGTTCTCCTCCTTCCTCACCGACCGCACGCAGTCTGTATTGG